GGGGTCATAAAGGAGGAGGAGGAAAGGAATTGTGTTCTGTGTGAAGAGGAAGAGGAGGATTCCAGCCACCTATTCTTGAAATGCAAAATTGTCAAATGGCTATGGAAAGCTTGCGCAATCTGGTGGGGCATCAAGGTAGAATTACAAAATGAGTGCAAGAAGACATTTCAGCTCTTTGGCGCTTGGACCAAAAAGTCTCATAAAAGAGAAGGGTGGGACTGTATTTGGAATGCAGTTATTTGGTCAGTGTGGATGGCACGAAACAAAAAGATCTTTGACAATGTAGAGGTAAACTTGATCAAACTTTTTGAACTTATTCAATTACGATCATTTACTTGGATTAAAGTTAGGAAAGGCAAGTGTTATTTCAATCTATCAGACTGGTTAATTAACCCTGCCTCATGCCTTTCTAGTGTGAAGTAGGAGGGGTTTGAAAGATGGAAGTAACACTAATAGTGCTTATTTCTGCAATCTAAGAGGATCGGTTGATGATTATGTAAAAGGGTTTGAGTACCCCTTGTACTCAGGATAGTAATATATCTTTTGCTGTTCAAAAAAAATACCAAACCCACTTGGTACAAGCATACTAAACTATATTACAGGTGGGTGAGACCATCTGTAGAAGGACTCGAATTCAAACAAATTACCCAAGCAGCGAATGATTTTCTCATTGCACCTTTTACTAAAGAAGAAATCAAGTCAGCGGTGTGGGACTAGGAAAGCTCAAAAGCACCGGGTCCGGACGGCTTCAATTTTAAATTCATCAAGAGTGAATGGGAGACAATCAGAGGTGATGTTACTGAATTTCTGCATGAGTTTCAGAAGAATGGCAAAATTGTGAAGGGTCTAAATACGTCATTCATAGTTCTTGTGCCAAAAGTAGAGAATCCTCAGAAAATTGAAGAGTATAGACCAATTTCACTGATAGGGGGTATTTACAAAATCCTTGCAAAGTTACTTGCTAACAGTCTTAAGAAGGTACTAGCGGGAATAGTTGGTGAACAGCAAATGGCATTTTTAAGCGGTCGACAATTAATGGATAGGGTTGTAATAGCAAATGAGGTCATTGATGAAATAAAAAAGAAAAGGAAGGAAGCGTTTTTGTTTAAGATCGACTTTGAGAAAGCTTATGACAAGGTCAGCTGGAGATTTTTGGATTTCATGTTGCAAAAGACGGGTTTTTCCAATACTTGGAGGAAATGGATTATGGAGTGCCTAAGGTCAAGTATGGTGTTGGTTTTGGTCAATGGCAGCCCTACCAGACAATTCTCTATGTCCAGAGGTCTCCGACAAGGGGATCCATTATCCCCATTCTTATTTCTAATTATTGCAGAAGGGATTAATGGGCTGGTTTCGAAGGCTGTTGAGAAAGGTTTACTTGAAGGAGTTGAAGTGGGAGGAAAAGGCTTCAAGATCACACATCTCCAATATGCAGATGACACTCTGTTGTTCGGCACAGCTACTGAAGGAAATGTTTGGACTATGAAGAGCATCTTGAGGACTTTTGAGCTGGTATCGGGGTTAAAGATAAACTTTAACAAAAGTCAGCTCATTGGGGTTGGAGTAAAGGAGGAGTGGCTAGAAAAAATGGCATGGATTTTGTGTTGCAAAAAAGGGTTCTTGCCTTTTAAGTATTTGGGGATACCCATTGGGGGGAGGAGTGGGAAGCTTTCATTCTGGAAACCAGTGCTGGAGGGAGTGAATAGAAAACTTTCCACATGGAATGGGAGATTCTTATCTCTAGGAGGAAGGATCACCCTCATTAACTCAGTGCTGTCCAGTCTACCTGTGTTTTGGATGTCCGTGTACATGATCTCGAAAGGTACGATTCTATTTCTTGATAAAATTCGTAGGAGTTTTTTATGGGGAGGTGTTGAGGGAGGAAAGAAAATAAATTGGGTTAGGTGGGACAAAGTTTGTAGGGACAAAGAGCAAGGGGGGTTAGGTGTGAAGGATTTAAGGAAGTTTAATCTAGCTTTGCTTGGAAAGTGGTGGGGGAGATTGGTTAACGAGGAGGATGGATTATGGAAAAAAGTAATATTGCAGAAATATGGTAGGGTCGGGGAACCTAGATACAATTGGTTGAGGGAGGGTTATGGTTCTGGGTCTAGATGGTGGAGGGATATTTGTAGGTTGAATGTCATAGACCAGGAGAATGATGGCTGGTTAGCAAAAGGGCTGAATATTAAAATAGGAGAAGGGGAGAGTGTAAAATTCTGGTGGGACGAATGGTGTGGGAGAGGTATTTTGGCTAACAAATATCCTAGACTCTACTTAATATCTGTAGGTAAAGACAATACAGTGTCACAGATGGGATGGTGGCTCAATGGCAGCTGGATATGGAAACTGCAGTGGAGGAGAAGGCTATATAGCTGGGAAGTCCAAGAAGAAACAGAGATTTTAAAGGAAATTCAAGAAACTACCCTCACGAAAGGAAAATCAGATGTAAGACAGTGGATACATAGTAACAACGGAGTATACACAACAAGATCTGCGTACAAGGCACTCACAATGGAGCTAGAGCGGGAACAACTAGGTGAGACCCTTCAAAAAGTTTGGAATGCAATGGTGCCAAGTAAGGTTTCAGCATTTTCTTGGCAACTTCTGCAGGATAAAATCCCTACAAAGGCAAATCTTTTCAAAAGAGGTATAATTCAAAACATGGAGGACTGCAAATGTGAACTTTGTGGGCACCAATTGGAGGAAACTAGCCATTTATTCACGCACTGCAAAGTGGCATATGATTTGTGGAATGCCTGCTTCAGGTGGTGGGGAATTAGAACAGCGCTGGACAGAGATGGGTGCAAGGTATTCCAACAGCATCCTTCGGCTCTCAAAGTGGCAGGATTAAAAGAGGGATGGAGATGCATATGGTTTGTAGTTGTGTGGTCATTGTGGTTGGCAAGAAACGACTGCATATTTAACGGAAAAGAAGCGGACAAAGGCAGGTTGCTGGAACTGGTTCAATTAAGGTCCTTCAGCTGGTTGAAAGGCAGAAAGAAAGGTTGTCTTTTTCCTTTATCCGACTGGATCCAGGATCCGGCTTCCTGCTTAAGAGGGGCTGCAGCAAATAACGGCAAAAAAGGGTGACAATATCTGGGTAAGTAGCGGATTTCTTAGAAAGGGGCGTTCAATTAAATTAATCTCAGATGTCTTTTTTTTGGGGAAGTAGTTGCTGAATAAGCATATATATCCCTGTAAAAGGTTTGGAGTACACCCAGTACTCCTATAATAGATATTATCTTTGCTTTTCAAAAAAAAAACTATATTGCAGCGTTGTGGTTATGTGCAGGAATATGGCAGGCAGCTGGGTTAATATTATTTATTATTTGGATCATTTGTGTTAGTGTGAAAGTTGTACTTTTGAATTGGCAGGAATACTTCCTTGTATTCCGTCTAATAAAATTTTATTTTGTTGATAAAAAAAAAAAAAAAA